GGCGGGGCGCCTGGCGGGCGGCCCTCGGGTCAGTGAGGGAGACCGGGGCGCCTATCTGAAGCGATGTTTGCTTTTCCCTCGCAGTACTGGCCCCGCATCGCGGGTGGGTCCTCTCCGGGCTCGACCAGCGCCTCGCCGCCGCCCCTGCCGTGGTGAGCGCCGCGCCGCCCGCCAGGCTCTACGCTGCAGCAGCGAAGTGAGTGCGTGTCCTTCTTCCACCCGAAGCAGCTCTCCTGGCTATAGAGTGTCCTGGTGGTGGTAGTGGGGGGAGCGTGCGGTGTGTGCAGTATTGCTCTTAACGGCTGAGCTGGCCTTGGTGGCATCCTGTAAGCTCCTAGCTCCTAAAGAAACAGCCTGGGAGAGGGAAGATCTAAGCTGGGCTTGCAGGCATTGTTCTGTGTTACTCTTCTAATAACGAATGTAACAGTTACAAGGAATGACTAACTTGGTACTTTTGATGTGTGGCTTTGGAGGGTATGGCTGGATTACAGCTTCAGGAGTACTGTTAGCATGAAAGCTAGTGAGCTTATGGATTTGGTTTCAAACAGTTCTTCTTTAGGTTGCTTTTTATTGTTTAATTTGTTGTCTCTTTAATATTATGGCATAAGTGGGAGAAGTAAAAATGATCTTTGTGTACAGAACAGTGAAGTGTCCTGTACAGCAAGTGTTTTGAAGTGTTGCAGACTCTTTCACCATAGTTAATAGATGAATGGAGTATCTAGCTATTACCATATTTTTTTTTTCATTGATTTGAGAGCCTTTGAAAATAGGTTGAGTAAGGATTGGTACTGGTATTTGTTAACTCTGTACAAAATGATACAGGAAAGGGTGAAGAAATGTTTGAAAGGTGGGACTGCCATGATCCACTAGAAGAAGCAGAAAAACCCTGCAGATATGGCTCCTTCTGATTACCAGGAAAGTGTGTGGGATTTGCTTGATTGAGAAGCAGCTCAGGCACAGTGCCTGCTACCAGCCCATGTGAAGGCAAGACCTGTGAAAGTTGGTGTGTTAAACTGTTTTTGCTTTGATACAGTAGGAGGTTGTTAACTTGGTTACATGCTGCACAAATGTGGCTGTGTTGTTTGAGGAGCTTAAATGCCTTCAGAGGTTTTGATTTCTGAATGTTTGATTTTTGTCTTGGCCATCTGAGATAAGTAGCTGGGATGAATTTAGGGATGCTGTTCATCTTTGTGTAGAACCTTCCTTGTCAACTAATTGTTACTTAGTAACACACAATAGAATCCACTTTTTTCTCTTGGAATGTGGCCAAGACTTTACAGCTGATGATCTAACAATATTTTTTTGTTTGCCTTAGAACTGCAAAAAGAGGTTCACGAAAGACCAAGCAGGAAGAAACAAAAAAAACCCCAGTAACTAGGAGGCGACCGCTGATGAGCAAGCCTGTGGATGATGTATACTTGACATGGTATTATGAGCGGCCATCCTATGATGTGGAAGTAGCTGTGGGTATGCTGAAGAAATTTCAGGAACTGGACTTCACTAACCCCAAACAGTATGTCTACATTAATGTATTCCTAGATATGGCACTACAGAAGAAGGTAGGTTGGAAGTATTTGTAGATTTCGATAATTTTTTCTTCTTAACATGGGAAGGCTGTGTTTTCGGTGTAGAGCAGATGCTGCTGTTGGCCTTCTCAGCTGCCTCTGGCAGCTTCTCTGATTGTCAGAATAATGTGTGCTTTTGCAGATGGCTTTGTGTCTTTATATATGTATAATTATTAAACATCCCTCATACTCCTGAAGTGAAGATAGTGCCATCGAGGATTTTGAAAACAGGCTATCACGTGACTAAAATTCATGTCTGGACAGGACTGGTCAAACTAAGCTTTACATCTCTTTGGGCTTCCCAGTTAAAGATGTGCTACAAGAATCATGTGTGTGTTTTGTTCTGGAATGATTGTTACAGGGAGAAGTGTAAAGACAAGCTTCTTCCTGCCTCTGTCCTTCACCTTGTTTTGATTTTTGGATAATGTTCCTTGAAAGTATGCTACTGCTTGTTTGCCTATGACATGTTTGATTTAAAGGTGTTTAGCCCAGCTGGAGTTTTCCTTGAAACTCCTTCTGCTTCCTCCATAAGTAGAGAACAGTTAGGACACTTTAGAATTGGTTTCGTCGCATGTGTAACTGACTATCCCTTTGGTATACCAGGGGGCCTTTAGATCTAGAACATAAGTTCATGCTTTAAGAAATGCAGAGCTCTTGCTCCTACTTTTGGAGGCTATGTGGTATTCTTGATGCCTGGGGAGAGACATATTCTTTGCTGGTGGTTTGCATTGGCCATTGCATCAGATACATCATTTAGATAAGCTGCAACTACAGCACCTCAGTGTTTGTTATTGATTTCACCCCAGCCTGGTAGCAATCCTACACTGGAGTTGCTGGTCCCAGCCCCTTTCTCTTGGGTAAACTGCAGCATAATTAATTCATGTCTCTTTAGATATGAGTATATACCAGGCAAAAAATAAGGCAGTCAAAACCTATGCATAGGGCTTGTTTGTTACGACCTCTGTGCAAGGAAGTTGTGGGTAAGATCGTTATTTAGCGGACTATCTCCATGTGATTGTGTAACCTGCTCTTATGTCATGACTTTTTTTTTTCCTTTAATATTTTTCTTTCTTATTAGAAAAAAGTGGATCCATTTTCAAGCGTTGTTCTTCTTCCATATCGCTTTAGAGATGAAACAAACAAGGTCTTGGTTTTCACAGAGGTGGGTAAGCCTGAAATAATTCTACATATCGAGTGTGCTCTTGCGATACAACCAGTTCCCATGCAAGTACTATTCCTGCCATTGAGAAGACTCCGTGAATGCTTTACAGAAGTCTTAAATCTGTCTGGGATTCGTCTTTGGCAGCGTCTTAGTGTAATAACAAGCATCTTATACGATTTCCATCCACCTTGAGAGGTTTACGTATATGTAGATTGTTATAGCGATGCACTTAGGGAGTAAACATCTGCATAGATGTGACTAAGGAAGAGATGATTAAAGATCATTTGTAGTGTAAAACCCTTGTCACCTTTTTGTAATGTAGGCACATGGTTTAATGTAGCAGCTGTGTCCAGTCCTGCTGTCTAAAGCCTCAGTAGACAGTGCAGGTTAGATGTGAGTGTTATTCAGTAATTTCTGCTCTAACAGGATACCTTGGGGGGAGGAGGGGAAAGTAACTTCCCCTCAGAAACCCTAAACAACTTAACAGCCTTCTGCCCCAAACACTTTGCTCAAGTTCATTAATGTGAAATGGTGTGTAGAGCAGTTGTAGCATCTGTATGAGATCAGTTTCAGCCTCTGCTGCTGTCCTTTGCCTGTTAATTATTCTAACAGAATAGACCTACATATATCCATGTGAGATTCTCCTAAAGAACTGTCAGAGATCTAGCTGACTACCCTTTGGGCTTAATTTTTATAAAATTCTCTACCTGAGCTATGAGGTGGAAATGCTTCCACAGAATGGACAGCTGACAGAAGACTCAAGTGTGCCAGGTTATTTGGTGCTGTATTTCACAACCTTCTCTCTTCACTCAAGTTCCTGTGGGTTAAGAGATCCCATGCCTTACGAAGGTGTGTATGTGGAAAAAGGTTGATCTGCTGAAACACTTGGTAGTGCTTTTGGATGAAAGCATGGATCTGTTCAGCCTATTCTTGTGAGGAAAAGTTGATTCTGGCTTTGAGTCATGAATATTGGCTTGTATCAAAAGCTTGTGCCAAAGTTTTTATAAAACTGATGCCTTTTACCTTTCCATATTTCAGACTGTTAAAAGTGAAACCTTGCAGAAGACAGATTATGTTAATTTCTAAATGCTCTTTGAAGCTGAAGTTTAACGGGACTTTCAGAAGTTGAATAGCCTTATTTTACAGTGGGGTTCAGTAGCATGTCCTGTGCTTTAAGCTTAAGAGTAGGATGTTGGCTCCATCCAGTGGATGATTCGTTGTAGCTTCCAGCAGATGGAGGAAGGAGAGCAAGGGTTTTGGCAGAGCTCCTCAGCAAATTGGATGGGTTTTTCTCCTGCTTCGCTATAAGTTGACTAAAGACTTGTCTGTCGCTTCTTATTGGGATCTAGAGTGGAGTTACTGCTCCTATATTAAATCACCGGCATTAGATATTTTTGGTCTTGGATTGCCTTAAGCCTTTCTTTCCTTCTTAACCTGTAAATAACCTGTTCTTATACCTTGTTGTCCAAGATACATCAACTATGCAGTGTTGTTGGTAACAGATTAATTGGTAGTACAGATACTACTAAATTTATTTTTTTTCTCTCCACAGAATGAGCAAGAAGCTGAAATAGCTCGAGAGAATGGAGCTGCTGTTGTGGGAGGAGTTGAATTAATCAAATGGGTATTTTTTTTTTTTTTTAAGAATTATATAAATATCCTAACTTAAATAGTGACTGGGGGGCAGGAGAGCAAGAAACCTCATGTACAGTAAACTCTAGCTTGAAGTTAACAGCCAATATGAAGATGAGAGATGGATGCTCAGATATGCTTGTAAGTCAACTTATGTATGTCGCTTACTGTATTCCTAGATATATTTAATTTTTTCATTGCAGATTTTGGAAGATGAAATCCAAGTGGACTTCTATGTAGCTGTTCCTGCAATAATCCCTAAGCTAATACCATTAAGGAGCAAACTGAAACAAAAGTACCCAAACACAAGAAGAAGTAAGAAGCAATTCTTTCTTACAAATCTCAAGTACTGAACAAGGTTGAACTCCAGAAGTGACACTGAAACATTTTTGATGAGGATGTATAATCACGTTGAGTATTAGACTGTATGTGACCGAACCACTTGTTTTGTCTTAGATAAGAGTAGTTTTAGGAATCTAGAACTGCTTTTCTTCTACAAGAGGCAAATGTGGGATTAGAATCAAGCTAAGTTTGCCTACTAGTTGCCCCTAGGCTTGTTAGTCCTGATGAACTTTAATAGTATTATGATGTTACCCAGGAAAACAGAACCAACTTGACAAAGACATTTACTAAGTTAGTTGCATTGTCAAACTGTTCTGCAGTTGTTTGGATCCCAGCTTCATGACTGCGGCTCTGCTTCTGCCTGTTCATTACAACTCAACAATGGAAGTAGTTACGCTTTTCCTTAGTACAGCCTGCTCCCTTGTCTGTGTGGTCTCCTTTTTCATAATGCTCAAGAGCTTTTCTCTTCAGGTCAGGTTTTCACAGTAACAGATATCAGTCACTCAAAAATTCTGTCTTCCCTTGCTGGCTGACTTTTATTTTAGTTATGTCTTGGGTCTGTTTCAAATATGAAAAAAAAAAAAAGGGCTGTTTTTCAAACACAGAGGCTGTGCTAACTATGTGAAGCACTGAGTCTTGAACCATATCTCTTTACTTCCCTTCCCCGGCTCTCTTAGTGTTTTACAAGCTGCAGGTGGTGTTTTAGGCTCCTAAACATTTTGAGACAAACCTATTAACCTGTCTAAAATATTGCAGCAGAGAATATTCCAGATACTTTTTTGCATAAATGAAAGCTGTCGTATGCCATAATGAACTTACTTGGTTTGTAGCTTATCTAGAGCTGATTTCTCTTGGAGCCATTGAAAGATGTGTAGGAGAAGTAATGCTTGTATTAGAAGCAATTGAGTGATGGTGTAAATCTGTCAAATGAGCCCCTGCAGCTGAGATAAATACGTGTCTTGACTTGTAGAAATGGCTGGATTGGGCCAGTGTGTTTCAGGTAGTGTATAACTTTGCTATTACATAGTTGTAGACTTTGTCCTCAAGGAAGACTGCAGGCTTGTTCTAAACTCAGTAGGATTTGGTATTTCAAGCTGCTTTAATTGCATTAGGTAATAAAGCTTTGTTTTATGTACACATAAACAGGTTCTTAATTTGAAGTGAAACCTTTGTTACCTTTCCTACTGTATTAGCTATTCAAGTCTGCTGATTAATGAGAAAGGAGGGAAAAGAGAAATGGTTGTATGTGTGAGGGTGCTATTGTCTTGTCCATGAAACTCCATTTTGGATTACAGTTTTAACTGCCTAAATTGAAAGATTGAATTCTCTGTTTACTAGTATCACACACAATAAGCATGCTAATAAGAATTACTCTGTTATCTTTTTTGTCTTTTTTTTTTTTTCTTTTTTAAATAGATTCCCTGGGCCATGATATTCCCAAAATGCTGCAACTCTTCAGAGAAGGTCTTGAGTACGCAGTAGAAGATGAGCATATAATCAAGACAAGAATAGCAAGAGTAAGTTGTATATAGAGTTCTTAAGTTTTGTCTACTGAGCAGTACTGAAGTCAGTATTGAAAGAGGGGGGGAAAAACATGTGTTTAATCTGTGTGTTTGCAAGATTTTTAACCATGTTCTTTAACTGACCTGTGAAGTAAATGGAACTCTTACTCATCGTTGTGTGACATCGTCAGCTGACGTGAGTGAGCGCTGTATGTTGTTAGTGTGTAGTTATAGAAGATGGCTCTGCTAAAACTGAGACCGAGGCATACCTGATGCTAAGAAGTTAAGAATGCTGAGAATGGGATCTGTATTTGTCACTATATTGGCAAGGAATTGTAATGAAATAAACAAAAAAGAATGAAGAAGGTACTATTACTAGTAATCTCCTTGTGAGTTGACATCTTAAGGAGGAAGGGCTTCCCTTTTCGTCTGCCTTCTGCAGCACTCTTCTGTGAGTAAAATAAAAGGTTTTTTGTTGGTTTTTTTTTTTTTAATAAATAAGCTATGGGTTATAAGTCCATGGTCACTGTGCACAGATGGATCAAAAAGTGTTTGCTTTAACCTAGTGATTAAAGACTTATTTAATTTTGATAACTTTAGTTCTGGAACCAAAAGCAAGAACTGTTTGCATGACACGTGAAATATAAAAGTAATCTGTTCTTTGCTGTCATGTAAGAAATTGGTGTATGTAAGAGTATCCTTTCTTTTTTTAGACCCTTAATATGTTTTCTTTAATGTGTTTTTTTACTTTCTCTGCTCCAGACTGTTTTTTGTTTCCATTCTGTTTTGTCTATTTGTCATCCTGCCTGATGTTTAGTTTTTCTTTAATTGATACTGGTATAGAAAGGAAGTGTACAAGATATCTAACCCTTGAAGCTTTGTCTGGTGGTGTTAGAAGTAAGCAATTTTATTAATTCTGGCTAGTTGCTCTGAGTTGTGCATGTGAATTTCAAGGGCTTGCTCGTCAATATGATACTCAAAACTGAGGTTCTCAGGACTGTTCTACTGAAGTGTGTTACATTTTGCACTTTGATACAGTCAAGAAGTATTTTTAGCTGTTTGCAAGTAATGGACCATGTGAAACGCCTCGAATCCATAGATCAGTCCTGGTTTCAAGTATTCCTTAATTTTTGCTTCAGGCTGCTTAAGCCTTCATCGTTTTATACTGTAGATCAGCCTAAAAAAATACCTGCACGTTAAACTTACTATACCACAAGAAATGTTACAGTAAAGAAGAAAAATCAGGTGAATTATTCACCTTAATAGAAGTGAATGAAGGACTCTGTCTTGGCAGTATTCAGTGCAATTGCAGTTGGTTCTGCCCAGTGTAGTGTCCTGCAGCTGTAGCTAGAATTTCTGAAGTTAAAACCATGTCCTGTTACTGATGCAAGATGTTGGTTTTAGAGATTACCTTTAGGTTCTGTGTCTAGGCAGCTCAGGGTGGCAGTTTCATGGCACTTCGGAACATTTGGTGCTTCCTGAGATGTCACTCTGTACAAGTAAACAATAGGTTCTTGTGAATGAGCTCTTAATCCTGGATCAGAAACAGTCTGAGGTTTTACTTACAGAGTTTGTATGTGCTAAGTTAATGTCAGCTATGTGGCAGAGGTGGCTTAACACTGCACACACAGTGCAACGTGTTCTGTCACACTGTTGTGTATTGAGTTGCGTGCAGAGGGATGACTCAGTGGTTATGTCTTGTGTAAAATGTCTCCACCCTCCCTAGCTACCATCCTTTACCTGACCTAGTTTTCCTACTGTGCGCAGCAACACTGGAAGGAAATCGAGTGCAGGCAAGACTCTGGGAGGCTGAGAGTGCCTTGAGTGGTTATGCATATCTCCTCACTACTAAATCAAGAGCTTTTTAAATTTAAATTTTGTCAGTGAGAAAATAATAATTTATGAATTACACAGAAGCATGAAGATCTATTGCTGTATTCCAAATAGTAGCGTAGATATTTCTGGGAGTCTGCCAAGCTGGTGTTTCTCAAAGAGATGTTTTCCCTTTAGTGCTGCTGTCTTATGTTGCCTGTAAGTTCAATTATAGCCAGTGGCTTGATGTAATGCTGCTGTCCCACATAAGTCAGCAGCCTCAGTGGTGTTTTCTTAGTTGTAATTGAGATGTCTTTGAAAAACCCAGAAGTTAGCTGTAGGTAAGTTTAATTAGTAGATGTGAAATTGTGAAAATGATAATGTAAAATGTTCTTTTAAGGCATGGAGTTTAAAGCAGAAGGGAGGCAAGTGAGGACACTCGGGATATTTCCTTCAGAATCAAGCTATCTGCAGAGGGCAGCTGAAAGTAATTTTTTTGAGGGTTTTGATATAAGTCTTGAGTCCAGTCAGGATGCTGTCAGTCACTATGAAATTTCCTTTTTCCCAAGTTGGAATTGTCTTTAAGAAAATCAGAGTCCCATAACACCAGGAAGCAGTTTCAGGTGTATCTTCTTATCTGTGCAGAGAGCTGCCTGTGCAATGGTTCCTCTATGGAAAAAAGTAAGATGTATTCAGGAGGTGAGACTTCAAGGTTTGTTTGGAACCATGTATCTCCTGGGAAGGTACATGTTTACAGGAGCACTCATTCACAAGGTTAGAAGTATGGAGAGAACATGTACTGAACCAGAGATCTCTCAGACTTGCTATGCAAAACATACAGGTATATGGACATGAGAGTTAAGGCAGAAAATGGAAAAGCCAGTTTGGGCTACAAGTAGCATCTACCTCCCTTGGCTGTCAATGGGATTGAAGGCCTGAAGTGTCAGTGTCCCCTGAAAAAGAAAAGAGGAGAGGAAAAAAAAAAAAGATATGTCTAATGGATCATTAGCTTTGAATTCTTTAAAGAAGGGGCATTTGAAGAAGACCTATTAACTCTTGCCATTTTGAATGCATGAGAGTTGAAATAAGTTTATTGGGAGATAAAGGGAATAATGCAGAAAGCATAGGTTGTAAAAGTTGTTTTTGGTTACCTATTTGAGTTGGTCTCTATTTGAGATACCACATGGAAAGGCTTGCCTGTCTGCAGTGCTGTTTCTAAGTGATAGTAACTAGTGACAAGTCCAGGATGAGAGAGAGATTCATCTTTAAATTATGTACCTCAAAGCTGAAGGTGTTGCATAGGTCCTGGCTGTGTGAGCTGGACTGTAGCTGAATAATGTCTTCCTAATAGTTTCATACTGGCAAACAACTTGAGTTTGGAACAAAATGGGACCAAGGATGTGGAAAAAGTTGTGGCCATCTAAACTAGGAAACAAACAGCCTCAGTAAGGGTATTTCTATGTCTACATTTTTTTTTTCCTGCAGACTGCTTGGGGCTACTACCTCAGAAATGCATCTACCTTGAGTGCCAGGATGAGAAAATGCTATCTGCATGGCCTCTTTTATTAGATACTCCTACACAGAAATCTGTTTTTTCCCTTATTCTGACCTTCTCAGGAAGGTTTATAACTGAGCAAAAACCTGTGAAAGCAAGGAAACACAAAATACATGTGTTCTCTTTTCTTATGATACTGTCAGTACTCCAGATGTCTTTACACATGGTACAGAAATACTGTTCTGACATGTTTGTCAGCATTTAACCTGTGGGTTCAGAGGCTTTCTTTTTGTTCCTGAAAGCAGAGATGCAAGTTTCTACCCTCACTGTGCAATGAAAGATGCTTGATGTCCCAGAAAATGGCAAGTAGAGTTGTTGTATTGTGCTGCTGCAAAGCAAAATAAAATTTGTTAGGAGGAGCTCTAAACCTGACTTTGAAAATGGGTGTAGTTAACATTTTGTTTAGAAGCAATTGAATACAAGTTCTCTAGTTCAGTAGAGTGTTTTGTGTTGAAATTACAAGAAAGTCTGGTTATATTGTAATGATGCAGAGGCTGCATGTTGTTAGGGGATGCTGGTCAAATTACTGTTGGTAATTGCTTGGCAGTTTATTGTGTTCCAGAAATGTCCCACCATGGTGAAAAGGTAAAATAAGTGAAGAAGGTAAATCTCTTAATAGGCAGCACGGGGAGACAAAAGGTAGCTGCTTGGAAAACAGAGCTGTGAACCCATGTCTATTTGTCTATTTTCATTAATTCAATTATTGGCTTGCATTTGACTGAAATACTTTTTTTTTTTTTGAATCTCGCTGTTGAGGGATCCAACCCTGAAATTCTGGGTCTCTGTGGGTTTTTTATTCTTCTTAGTTTGTCTTTCAACAGCTGTAGTAGGGAACTTGGAGTAGATTTCTCTCTGCCCACCCCACTAGCACAACTGTAAGGTCACTTAAGGTGTTCTGAGAATGGATTTAGCTTTCTGGTTGAATGGTCACCAGTCAGTCCAGGTCTATTAAGTACCATGAGATAAAGCCATAAAAATTCTAGTTCCATTTTTGGAGTGGATACTTTATAATGACTGGCTTGTCTATAGCTCTTCAGAAAAGCTGGTACCAGAGTTCTAAGTGAAGATGCTAGAACTCCTTAATTTCCTGATTATTGCAGCCTTTATTATGGAGTTTTAATTCCTCACGATTTCAGGTGGGCAGCTCTCGGTTGAAGAAAAGGCTGGAAGAAACAGGGTGGATCATTGCTAATGTGTATTTGTTCTGGGAACTTCAAAAAGGGGCAGGAGGGAAGAGTAGAAAACTGTTTCAGGGAATAGAGCATGGATTGATCTGCCTTGCTGTACTAGACATTATTTTAGGAGTATGTCGCATATATTCTTAATACTGCTTGCTGGAAGAACAGATCATTTGAGTGAGATGGAGGCTCAAGCTTTATACCTGTAAATCTCTTGAATGGGAGCTGTTGTCTGAATTGAAAGTGCCTATTTTGTTAGATGTGCGGGCAAAAAACCCAAAAAAGTCTGTCTTTGCCCACCTCCAGGCAGAAATGGTTAGATTAAAACAACATGGTCATGCAGGTGAGTATTACAGGATTCTCGGCTGACACAGGAATAGGGAGGTTGGATTGACTTACTTGGAATTTAATCGGTATTTTGTATTTCTTCTATGTAAACCATGTTTATGAGAAATGCAGTTGGAGTCATATATTTTTATCTGCTGTGGAGTTTTCCTGTTGACATAGGGGTACCATATCTGTTAAAAATAGTTTCATTTATCTTTAAATATTATTTCATACTAGACACTAAAATGTTAGCTGAGATGGTAAGGTTCCATTGAATAACAAAAACAGAGGATGAGTGCCACTCATTAATAAAAGGAGGGGTTATTTCACTTTTCCGGTTTCACTTAATTTGAAGCTGCATTAAACTTTGTGGTTTGTTTTTTTGTTTGTTTGGTTGGTTTTTTTTAACAGGTGGGTAGCCTTGTTTAACTTTGGATAAGATGGTATGTCTATTTCATTAGATGAACAGTGATATATCCAGACTGCTATCAACAAAGTGGGTTGGGTTTTTTTGCGTGGTTTGACTGGGGTTTTTTTGGACGACCAGTCCTGGTGGATGATGAATGTGTTTAGAGAAGGCCATAAGCAATGGAAGTGCTGTTCTTGATTAGTTTGCATTAGCATGGCTTTTGATTTTTTTGTAGTATGTAGCAGGAGTCACTTCTTGGATTTGTATGATAGCGAAGTCAGTTGCAGATTGCAGTGGAGATGGACGTTTGTATATATGTTAGTCAGTGCATGACCTGAACTTAAGAACTGAGAGCTTTAGAGGGTTTTTTTTTAGCTTAGGTAGTGAAACCATTGTAAAACAGGCTATGAACTGAAGAAATTGATAGAAATTCCTATGAAGAAACCTTTCTCTATTAGCTTTATTTTCATTCCATTAATTTTCTGTTGCTGTCTGTCCTTTTTGATGTATAAATGATACGTACTGGATTTTACTTCATTTTATTTAAGTCACCTTTTATTTGCTGGTTCTCAGACCATGAAGTATCTTACATAGTAATCATGCATGTCTCAAATCACACCTCTCCCCTTCACCTAGGAATAGGTTTTGTCTGTTGTGGTGTAGAAGACAAGTCAGCCTCACTTGCTGTAACCTTTGCATCTGCAGGACTTTACTGCCTCACTGTTTTTGGAGGGAAGTTATTTGTGCTCTTGACCTTGGATGTCTGAAATGCTGGGTCCCTTTCTCTGCAGACCTACTTTACCCCATGCGGTGTGCACTTTACATACTACTTCTATCATGTCAAACAACTTTGCCATGTCTACTTCTGTTTTTTTCATATTCACTAGTTTCCAGCTTTGTTTTCCTGCCCTCTGATTCTTAAAGCATTGAGTTAAATAGTTGGCAATAATCTTGTTTTGTAAAGTGTTAATCATTTCTCATCTTCTACCAAGTGTTTCTGCCCTGCCGTGACTCTCCATACACCTGTGTTACATTCGAACTGCCTGGTAGTTAAGTCTGCAGCACAGTTTAAGTGATGTGGATGATCTCTTGATGCAATTCTCTAAATACAGTTTAGAAAAGCCATTCTGTGACTGAAGCTAGTGTTTTAATAGCAGGGCAACTTTTTGTTCTTCATTTGTATATGCTGTATATCCAGCAAATAGCTGAGTGGCTCTGCAGTCTTGTAAAGATCCCCTAGATTAGAAGCATTGAGACTTCATGCATCAAGGTTTAAACACGATCTGTTTTGGTGAAACTTATGTTAGTGCTGAATAATAATAGGCAGTTTTTCACCAGACAGCAGAGTTAGTGGTTAGTGGGAGGCTGTTTTAAAGACAAATATAACGTGTTTCTTATTTAAAAAAAAAAAAAAAAAAAAGCAAGCAAATAACTTCCCTGAATCTTTTTACAACATCTTATGCTGCTCTAGAGAGAAGTGTCCTAAACTTTAAAAAGTAAGATAAGTAATAATGCATTTCTGTGTTGTAATTGTAGTATATACTGTCATTTTTTAAGGTACTTTGTGGTTAGGTTGTATTTATACAAAGTGGACCAGAAGTTGATTTATAGTTGTTCCCTCTGTAGGTGTGATTATTCTTCAGGAAGGCTCAGGACTTAGAAGATATTTTAGCATTCTTTGCAATCGATCTGAACAGAGTAGCTTGCACAGCCTTGAAGATCTGGTTCAGAGTACTTTTGTCAGTTTGGTGAAGGTTTGAATTAAACTAAATATCTAAGTGCTGATACACAGTGACTGTGTATACACGAAGTTTTTGCTGTGGAATACTTTTTTGGAAGCTGGAATATTTATTTGGATGTGGAAGCTGTTTCAAAATATTTGGAATCCTCTGAGCATTACCTGTCTTCTTTATGGAGCTGTGAGGTCTCAAGTAAATGATGCTGTGTGATCTCTTGGGATGTGGCATGTTGTCTGACTGAATGCAAGTCACTGTCCTATTTTCCTGTCTTAACAAATACAGAATATTAACTAATGTCTTCATATTTTGAGATGGGTCTTGCCTCATAATGTGTTGTACTTCTAAATCCTTATAAGAAGCTGTAGCTTGTTTAGAGCAACTTGCAAATTCTGTCTTTTATGAATGCTTCTAGATTTTGTTACAGATGACGAATGCCAAGTAGCTTGCTGAAATTGTACAACTGAAGGTTCGCTCAAGACCTGAACTTAGTGTAAGGTTTGGAAGCAAACACTATTTGAACCTTCATTTGAAGTATAGTTTCTAATTAGTTATTACAAATAAATTGCTTTATTTAAATGATTCTGAGTATTCCTTTATTCTGAAATTGGTGCAGCATGGTGAGTCTGTCAGCAAAGAGAAATGCTCAGCATTAACAAACAGATTTTTACATCTTTTAATTTATAAATGATTAAGCACATTGCAATCAGCATAACAATGATAAAGACAAATGTGTTCTGGTCTGTGTAACAGAGGAACTGCATTTGGATTGTAAGTCTGCCAGAACAGTGTAAGGAGAGAATAATGACCAGATCTGGGAGGAGAGTAGTCAAGTATAACAGTATTTCTATTGCGAAGTAATGCATACATTTACAGATAAGTGAGATATTAATAAAATCTGCTTATGCTACATTGGGAAGTGGTAGAGAGGAAGAAGAGACCCAGTGATGCCTGTGTGCTCCTTTGATAGGGAGTTGATTTTGTGAGAATAAATGCTATTTTTTTCTTAACTCTATAGCTGAAACCTCTAGAGAAAGAGCTTGATTTTTCATCCAGATAAAGATATGTGGATCATATGGGTGAGACCAGATAACAAATTAAGTAAAGCATAGCAGGGCATTAGAGTAGCGGAACACTGAGTCTGAGAAATGCATGTTAAGCTCTCCAGGAGCTGAGAGATAGGTCAGTCCTGACTTTGACCCACGGATGTTCAGGTTGGCATCTCTCTTGGTCATGAGTTGCACGTTCTTGAGGAGAGTCCAGATGAGATGAATAGCTTCTTTCCCACGTCCATGGTTTAAGTTGATTGGTGATGAGAGAAGATGTCGATATTAATTTTTTGAGGATCATGTATCTGTCTGAAGTGAGCTGCGCTTAAGTGCTCCGTTGGATAAGGATGCTGGACAGAATGAGGAGCCATCAGTCCACAGGTTTTGTTGGAAGGTCAAAAATGACATGGATGGGAACCAGGATGTGTAAAAAGGGTAGATACAGAACTGGTATATGTTCAGAGCTCAATGTGTCATGTACTTTATGTAAAATGTAGAAATTACATGTAATATGTTAAAATGAGAAAGAGTAGGGGAAGAAACTTTTTAAATGATTCATTTGATTCTGTTAAAGTTCTTAATGCCTTAAATTTTAGATGCTTGTATTTTTTGAGTGGAGTTGTTTTGTAGTCTTGGACATCTACTTGAAGCTTCTTTCCTCAAATACTTTCTTTTAATATGATTTTTGTGAAAACACTTGTACAGATACTGTTTTATAAGACCTTTTACCTCTTTAAGGCTGTATGTTGTTACAGAGCCATGAAAATTTAATGTCATGAGTAGAAATATGGAGAATAATGATGAGTGTATAACTACATTTAAAATAGTTCTCTGAGGCATCTGGATAACACTGTTAATGGGATTTGTAACTCTGTAATGGGCAACACAGAGAAACAAAATCTATCCAAATGTAGAATAAATATGTACCCAATTCTTTCAGATTTGATAATCTAGGCTTTAAATATCATCACGATTAACTCTGCATTGTCCTTTTTCAGCTGGATATGCCTACGGAGCAGATAGTTGCCAATCTAAAAACAGTTATCCATGACATCTGCAAATTCAAGCCATCAACTGATGGTGAGTAGCTGTGTACTTGCTAGTTAAAGTTACAGCAAACAAAATTATGAAATGAGTGCTCTTTACTGTGTTGTCATTTAATGACCTTGCTGCTTTGTCTGCCTTGGGACAGGAGGAGGGAGCTGTTAGGCAACTTGGTAAATCAAGACCTATGAACTTGACAGCCTGTAAGAGCATGAATAGCATCTGCTCTTACTGATGTGAACTCTAATTGCACTGCAGCACTGCTTAAGTGTCTGTGTGAGGAAAGGAGTGAGATGTTGTACAAAACTAAGTTTGCAGGCTTGATGCCTAAATAGATTAAAGCCATACAAGGAAATCCTCGTGAGACATAGAGTCTTCAGCATCTGTGTGCATTGGTTTTACCCAGCTGATGCGACCCTGTTGTGGCTCAACACAAAGAATCTGAACCCAGAATCCACCTGCAGTTGCCTTAGTTAAAGTATTTGCTTCACTTAACATCTAGTCTGGTTAGCTACCCAGTATACCCTACTCGTATACCACCATTTTTTTTTCCTATTACAAAGGAACTTTTAAAATTTATGCTGCTCCAAGGGAAAAGCTATTAATCTTTTTTCTTTTTTAATTCTTTAGCAAAAGGATCAAGTTACAAAGGAGTAGGACTATGAATTCTGCTTGTTGTTCCTGTGGGTTCTACTCTTCTGAGCAAAGAATGTGAACAACTAATATGCTATCTGCTCTTTGTCATAATGAAGTAAACTTTAAACAAATGTCATCTGCTTAGCTGGAGTGGAAATGATGATTTATGAACATAATTTTATGGAAGAATAGCCTTGTTTAAGCTAAGAAACTTTTTATTAATATTGGCTTAATGTCTGCAAAAATAATCATCTTGCATCTCTTCCAGTGATGCTGTTAATTGTAAGTACTGTACAGAGAATAGGCCATGAAAAAACAAGTACACATGCCTTTTAGAAGCATTTCAGCCCAAATAAAAGATAAAATGGGTTGGTTAACTTGAAGTATAAGTAAATAGAAGCAGAAAGTTGTGGTATTTTTGTCCTTAATGAGTTTATGTGTGAACTACACCAACCTCCCAACTTCTTTAAGTAAGGGTAAGCTTTTCTGGGCTTAGTAGCATTTCTACTGATTTTGTGGCATCAAGCTTGATTTTTGTGGTGGGTCTCTTGCTGGCTTGATTAAATATATTTGCTGTTTATCTGAAGCAAACTTGGTAACATCTTTACAACAATGAAGTCTAGATAAGCTTGTTAACTATCAATCACTTAAACCAACTAGTTACATCTGTCCTGTAGTTCCTTTCAGACTTTACATATGTAATAGCATGTATTCATGGAGCTATGTAGTTATCATTAAAACAGCATTCCTCTGTGTGTTAGTTGATCTAATGCAAGGTTGAAAAAAACACCAGGCAAGTGTTTCCAGAGTATAATTTAGCTCTATTGACTCTTCCATAAAGAAATGTACTGGTTTTGTACTTGTTCTTGTCAAAATGTTCCCTCAGCACTTCATGGTAGGATCCTGAATTAGAAATGGTATCTTTTGTGCCCTTAGTCATGTAGGAATATTTGGGTGATCAGTAAACTTCCCCTTTGTCTTGTGCATCAGGACTGCTTCATCTGTATTTCATTTTTTGGAGGAATGTGTGTGTGAAGCTTTACTTGTTTGTTTGAAGGCGCAGTGGCACCAGAGGTGTCAACTGCTGGTGAGGTATTGAGGGACTAAGTTATTACCTTTGATGGCATCAGAGTGTGAACTGCATTTTGAACCCAGTCTGCCAGCATGGATGTTAAACTCTCTGTACTGAAGGGATTTGTCTACATATCTAGTTCTGATTCCAGTCATGTTCTTGACACAGTATGGGTTAGTGCCTGGAGACGTGAAAAGTGGTAGTGATCAAATTGGTGGTTTTGTTTGTTTTCTAGATCCTCTTGTGCAGAAGTTGTTGATTAGATCTTCAAGCAGTGAATGTTTGCTATTGAACCTTGATGGACTTCTACCTCAGGTGGAGAAAGTAGAAGAAGAAGAAAAAAATGCAGACGATGATGAAGAAAAACATGTCCAAGAACCTGTTCGTACCTGATGTCTTTCGTTATAGATCTGATGATCAAACTCAGGAAGCAAATGGTGTAATTCAAATCATACTTCATGAAAAGAAAAAATAAATCTTAATTTGGGAATTTCACTTTTGAATTCTGTGTAAGGAGAAACACCTTCACTAACAGGAGTCTGTTGTCAAAACCGAAGATGTCTTAAATACCTTTTGTTGGTAACTAAAAGCTCCCTAGTTTGTGTGTTGTCTTTTTTTCTTTGCATATTTTTTTACAGAAAAATATTTCTGTAACTTCTGAAGCATTGCCTTGTCTGACTGCAAAGTCAGACCTGGTGTTCCTTTTGACTTGGTGGGGGTAATGTCTGCATAATGTTTGTAATATCACACTCTGTTTTCATTTAATCTGCATATGTAGATACCGGAGGGGTATACAAAGGATTACTACTCTGCTACCTTGAGTCTCTGAATGCAGGTTAGTCTTTGTGACAAACTGTAATAAGTGAGGTTTTTCAAAATTAAAATGGGATGTATTCTGCAGGAGGAGTGGTCATGCACCTTATCTTTCAAATAATGCTATTTCATCTTTGTGTAACTGATACAACACCCCTCGGAGAATCCAGTCAGTTAGTGGTTTGTTTGTACTATCCTGGAAAGAATATGCTTTAAATGTCTTGGGGTGAAACCTGAGTGAAGCTACAAAATTTGTCACTTTATTGACTTCTATCATATAGGTTCTTGTAGATGGGCTTGTGAATAACCACTTGGGATAAGTGGATGGGTTTGGAGGAATGGGGGCAGCTTCACAACAAGCAGCAGATCTTTTTCCATGCAGGTGACTCTCAGAGGAAGACTCCTGTGCTACGCTTCCTGATGAGATTTTTTTTCCCCTCTGCCAGTGTATGCAGAAGAAGAAAAATGCTCTGGGGGTCACCTTTGGTGGTCTGCTTGCTAAATTTTGTTCCTCAGACTCTTAGTAGCTATGTATACCACTTAGACTTGGCAGAAAGTCTTGAAAATAAAAGACTCTTTAATTGAAATGGAGGTCTCTTAACAGTAGCACAGTTTGATGTAGGTGGTAGATTCCCTATAAATGAGTTGATCTCTTGTTGGGGTTTGAGCTCTTAAACACATCAGAAGGCTGAACATGGTAATGGTTCTGGTTTTGCAGTTACCTTTTTGTTCTTTGGGGTTGGTTGGTGTGGGTTAAACAGATTATAAAACCAAAACAACCAACTCTTTTACACAACAGCCAGTCTTCAGTGTGCTTGTAGTGTAATCTTACCATTCTGCCTCATTTAATTCAGTCTGTGGCAATTGCTGTGACATCTTATTTTGCTTACCTTTGTTTTCCTCCAGCTTAATTCTTAAATATAAACTGGAGACCATCATAAATATTCATGCATCTTTTATCTGGCTGTTTAATAATAGGTGGCTTTTTTGCTTTGCTGCTGAATTTCTCTCCCATTTTTTTTCCACGTTGTTTCCAGCAGGTGGCATTCTTGTTCCCTTCTGTAGTGGTGTTAGAGTTTCTCAGTGGGGTTTGGGGTTTTTTTGACTTTGTTGCTAAACATGTCAGTAGAACTACACCCTGAAATGTAAGATAGTTCCAAAAAAGGATTGGCTGTTTACAAAAGGGATGAGCTTATCCAAATCTGGAAGGGTGGTTTGTGTTTGCGGCTTTAAATCATTCCTATTACTGGAAGCAGGTCTAATTTTTCAAAGAGGTTACTCATATCTGTCTGCGTAGAAATTCTTGTACCTCCCATCTGAAGCATTTGGCTGCTGTCAGTCAGGATGCTTGACAGATGACTGTTAGGCCGCACGGCTATACTGTTTATTATGTGGGGTGCTCTGTTCAGGGTTTGATCAGAAAATTCTCTTAAGAGGTAAAGGAAGGCTTCACACTGACTCCAGTAGACTTACTAGGTAGTATGTGGAAAAAGCAATGCCAGTGCACTTGAATAGTCATCTAAACACATTTTTTACTACAGGCTGTGCTCAAATGTGTAGTAGCAAGAAGATAATTCAGTCTGTTGCTTTTCAATGTGAAGAGCTGATGTGACTGGCAAAAATATTGTCAGATGTGTTCAGTGATGTTAACTGCTCTTAATACCCTATTTGGTCCAAATCTTACATGAGGCTGGTAATGAGGAGGCTGATAACAGTAGTAATTTGTAAGTATCTTTAGAATGGATAATGTCTTTTTTTTAACTTCTCCTTTTGTTCTGCAGAAGTTAAAGTTGCAGAGTAAAGCTTTTTTAGCTCTTTAATGCTAATGTCTGTCAATTTCTGGTCTGGAGCACCAGGCAAGTTTCAAAAGATAGGTGATGGTAGGTAGGGTTTTTTTTTTTAAAAGTGTTTCAAATTTCTGGGATTTTTTTTCCCTCCATCTGTGTCTTAAGTAATTGATTGTACTGCTTACTGATGGTTGTGTACTGGCAAGTCTAGTCTATGGCAACATGGAATGGAGTAGCAGCTTAATCAGTCTGCAGCATAAAGGCTTGATGACTTAAGTTTTACCTAGATGGGTTTTTTTCTAATAAAAAATATTAGTCATGTTGCGTACACTCCTCATCTGCAATATGTCTAGCTTCATTAGCTCAAGTACAGCATCCTCTGCAAGTACATCATTTATGCTGTGACCTTTTTCTACTTGGAGTTTGTGCGAGGGTGCGTTCTTGCATGAACAGAAAAGATCAAGAGGACCTGGTTCTTAACTTGTGATCCATTTGAGGCACCTGAGCAGTTGATAAACACTGAATTTTAGCAAAAGGCACAATACTGTTTTACAGGAACGTTGTTTCACCCTGCAAATAACATTTCATGCCTGCGTGTAAGCCAAGAGTGGTTTTATTACTAATGAATTATATGTACAAGGAAGATTATGAGATGTTACAATAGCTATGTGCTGTTTGCAACCCAAAAGGAACAATGTGAAGGTAAGTTACCTGTTGGTATAGAAAAGCAAGGCTTATGATACCATTTGCATGGGTTTCTTTATTTTTTTCTTGGCTTATTTCAAAGACTTTACTATCTATTATGGAAAATGGTAAAACTGTCCTGTTGGAGATGGGTGGCTTTTAAAAAAAGTGAGGCTTAAGTATAAATATATGGATGAGCTTAAATCATAAACTCTCAGACTGCTGATTGTACTTTCAAAGAGTAAAAGTATGGAATAATAAATATTCCTGCAGAAATCTATACTTCCGAAAACTTGAACACTGTGGGAATGCTTTAAATTTGAACCTCTCAAAGTCAGGTGAATAAAACTGTATCTCATGAACATAAAAAATTTTCAGCTGCATTTGTTAGTTCTAATCCTGCACATCTGAATACATGTTACTATGCTACTATCTCTAGTCTGTGTAATAGTGAAATAGTGTTATACAAGCTGTTGTATTGTGATTTTTATCCTGAAATGCTTGATGGACACAGAGGAGAGATGAAAGGGAAGAAGACAACATGAGATTATTCTCCTTTAATATGCTTAGTCCCAAAACATGCCGAGTGGGAGTTGTACATATGGTTCTTGTGCCAATATGCCTTAGAAACTGGTTTAATTATTACAGTAAATGTAACTAAAATGGTATTGCTGGCTTCTAGAAATTAATACTTGTGTACTCGTTGCAAAGCGTGGGGTTGTAAAGTTTTTGTGGTTTCTGATTAGTTAGAGCAATATATAAATAGATTATCTATCCTGAATGTTAAGTTCTTTTAAGTCCTCTATAATAGTAGGCACCCTTTTTACCAGAGTTTCTGTTAATGAGTGCTTAATACTTCTTTGGTAGGTAAATAGAGCACTGATCTATCAAAAGCAGAATGGCAGTAACCTATGACCTGTTACACAGATATGTGGTCAAGTGAGGAAGGATGTGTTAAAAGGCATTGTGTCATGTTACCTGCAGAAAGTAGGAACATACTTCAAGCAAGTTACTCCATAGTGAAAGGTACTCCAGGCAAACTCTTTGCACATACTTGGATATGAGAGCATACACTCTTGGTTCTTCCAGAGCAGCTGACAAATTACTGAATGTTATCTCCTGTTAACAAATAGTACCTTACTGTGCACACTTGGCCCTCAGCAAGAAGGGAGAGATGGCTGGGAGGGTGGCTGGGAGGACAAGGAATATCCCATATACCACAGAATAGAAGGCGGCCGATCGGTGGGCCCTAGTTCTCTCCCAAAGGGCTTCATGGTTTTCATTTACCCTTTATTCTCTCCTGTATAAGTATTAGCAGCACAAGTCAAGCTATGCTGAATTTGATTGGAAGCTTCATTTCAACCAAAAATATTTCTCAAGGAAGTATCGGGTTACGGCATTTGAGGCTGCAGCCTCTGCCTCTAAGTGTCCTTTTACTGCCGCTAAGAAAGCGGGAGTTGATGTATGGGGCTTGAAATCCCCACTATCTGAGTACTGAAAGAGTTCGCTGATGCTCCTTGTGGGCAAAAGGGAGTGCTGCAATGCACTTAGTAATGCAGATGATGTATGATTGCTTTTAAAATTCTTACAGAAACTGCTGTTAGTTTAACTAAGGAGAATCAGGCAATGAACTCAGATTCACAGTTGGTGCATACAGAAACATTTGCCCAAACAAGGAAGAAATTACCATAGAGGCATGCATGCAGCTGTGGGGAATGAAGGGTTTGGGCTGATGCTCAGCCTAAACCTGGACTTGTATGGGAATTAGTTGCACTGCAAAAAACTTTGGATCTGCGTAGGTCAAACTGAGTTCATGGGGCTTTTGTTGTAAATTATGTCATGAAGGTCAAGTTAGAAGAATGGGACAGGGATGTTAAAAATGCCATGTTCAAAACTGATGCAGGAAAGGTCAGCCTCTCCATACCCACCGGGGGTTTTCCAGGGTGCTAGTGGTTAGCATTGGCACTAGTCCCACAGTTGCCATTTGCCTGTTCTGTAGCTGCGCATAGTCTTGGAAATGTCAAGTAAATCAGCTTTGTACACCTCCTGAATTCATCTTGTCAGGTATAGACACAGATTGTAACTTTCCCAGGGACAGAGATGCCAAGTTCTGTGTGTTTGCCTCTGCTCTGAAAGTTATGCTGCTCTAAGATGCTGGGCTGAGCGCTTTGTTTGAAGCATACAAAAGCTGCTTGGAAAGATCTGGACTAAACACAAAGCCCATCCAGATGATGTCACTGATGAGGTCTGTTTAAAAATCTAATTGTGCCTGCAAGGCATAAGACGTTTCTAAGTGCTGAGACAGGCCTTATAGATGATTACATTCATATTCTGCAGTACCATTGGTATTACCAGCCTCAGACTTTGGGTGAAGCTAATACTGTAGCCTAATTTCTTCCGTATGGTAGACCTTGCATTGACTTAAATTGGACAGAGGATTAAAAAAAAAAAAAAAAGGTGTTAAGACTGACTGAAAATACTGTTAGGGATAAATATTGTTAGTTTACAAGTAGTCATTTTTGTCAGTACCTTGGCTTGCAGGTGACTGGAGGCTTCATCCCACAACTCCATGAATTGGTAGTTGTGACAGTGAATTCCTGATGCTGTACCTTGCAGGCCTGGTGTTCAGTGCATGTGCAAGTAGTTTTAATGTGGTGGGGGAGTGCTGTGTCATTCAGGTGGACAGGTGGTTTGGGAGAAGAGTGGTGTCCTTACTTCCCATCATTGTTCTTAGAAAATAAGCTTTTTATGCCATGAGGGTAAGCAGCATGGGAATCAGTCCATCAGGGATTTGTATTAGCATCCTACTGAGAGAAGGAGGCTTCATGGGAGGCTTGATTTGGGTACACTCATTGACTTTTAAAGTTTAGTGCTGTCCTTCATCAGTGGCCTTCAATGTAAACTGCTTGGTTTTAGGGTTACCTTTACCCCTAGCGGGTAGTGTTCTACCATTTAGCAAAGACAAGTGCTCATTGGTGAAGGCTTTGACAACAAAGACCAGGCTTTCTCCTAAAACTGCCTGTGAAAAGTGTGAAAGTAATCTGAAGAGTATTGAATTTATTAAGAGTCAAATCCTGTTAAATTGAACATGACATTCTTGAGCTCCAGGAGTACTTGGAAAACAAGGGGAAAAAACCCAGTCTTCCCAAATTGCCAGGTACTGGGAAATGCTGGGTTAAGGTAAACTACTGCCCATGATGCCTATGCAATGCCATATTGTTTTGGTCGCTGGCAGAGCTAGACAGGTGTATGTCAGGGGCTGTGGCACTTGGAAGTTTTGGTGTGATCCTCAGTGGGGCAGCAGATGTTTTCATGAGCCCATATGTTCTTCTAGTGGGCATCTCTATATTGGAAACCTGTGCTGATGGTATTTATTTGCAACTGGAGTTGTAACGGTCTTTGTATTGTTAAAATGGAGAAACACTTGGGGGGACTGTTCTCTCAGCCAAATAAGGCTTAAAACAAAACCCTGAAGCGTGTTTTCAGTAAAAATATGTGTTCTTACCTGAAAGCCTCGTCGTGCCAGCAGGAGGAGTTCTGCGACTACATTGCTAGCAGCATGGACTCTTGAGTCACTAGGAGGAAAAATGACGGGTGTGGAAATAAGACAGAAAAAGGCAAAACCTTTTTCTTTAAGATGCCTCTTGTATGAAGTCAGGTAAATTTCATTTCCCGGTATTAGTGAAATTGGTTATGATAAGACAAAATTTGGAAGTGACCTGTACACAGGCTAGCTGTTATTCAAAGCTTTTACAAAAGATGGCATGCTAACAAAGTAGACAGTGACCTTATGCTAGAGGGTCCTCTGAAAAATTTATTTTGGGGACTTAGCAACTGTACTTACAATGGTTCAGTAACAGGGCTTTCCCAAGCATGCCTGCATTCAAATCCCAAGATTTGCTGGGGATGGGAGTGGATTTTGGGGTCTGGGACAGTGAGGTCTAAGAACATCATCCTAATTGAAGCTGAGTATACACGTGCCATGTAGTAGACAATTTACGATTTCTGAGGTTTCTGGAAATGCCCGCTGGATTTACTACCAGTGCGCTGCCCGGTGGCCTTGGTACTTCACCTGCAGTTCTGCTGGAAAGCTGTGCTGCATGAGTGCACTCAATCATATGCTTCCCCAAAACTGAAGACCAGGCCTAAGTGTGCTGTATAGCACATGTAAGGGCACATCTGCATTGGCTATACCAAGCTGAAATGCAAGCACCTCTGCAGAGAAGTGATTTTATGCTGGGCACTCCATTTGCAAAGGGTTACTTTTCTGCTTCTCAAGGGCTTTCTGACAGGACTGTGAATAGATGAGATGGCAGTGAAAGCTTGAGTTGTTCATATTTCAGGAAAACTTTTTTTTTTTTTTCAAAATCCTTATAATCATCCATTGTGAATGGATAGTTGCTTGGAAGACATGCATTTTGTTTTAATGGTGTGATCTCATTATGTTTTAAAAATGCTTATTAACAAAATCTGTAGTACTATATGTAGCACATAGTATTATTCCTTGCCTGTGAAAAGAGATATTTGGAAAAGATTGGATTTCCTTTATTTTAGAAGTGATTTGTGGTCTTACATGTTACATGAAGGGGTGAAAGGTCTACTAGGTGTAGAGCTTCCAGACTCTGAAAAGCAGATTCTTCTTCAGGTGTGTCAGAGTGGACTTCAAACTGTTATTTTCCTTCCCAAAGCCTTTGAGTAAAAAAAAAAAAAAAAAAAAAGGAA